AACCCTAAATATAAAATAACAGTGAATATAAAAGAATTAAATAATATATATTATTATTATAATCAAAGGGGAAGCGCTAAACCCGTAGGATTATACAGCGCCTGGGGTGGGGATGTGGAAGGTATTCAGGCTTAATTCGGGGAACTGGAGCACAGTTCCAATTCCCTAAATCAAGAGCCCCTCACCAACATCAAGGAACCTTCCATGAGGGGAAATAATATATAGCTGGTGAACCTGAGAAGTTTGGAAGAGGCAGTTATGTCCCCCACACATTTTTTAAAGGTCTAAGGAGCCACTGTGGGCTAAAAGATCTTAATATGAAGGCCTGCGAGTCTGTATAATCAGACAAAGAACATAATTAGTAAACTGGGCAGTCATCACAAGTCCTGGGCCTTAAGCAAAGTGAATAACCATTCACCAGAAGAGCAGTAGGGACTACCACAAATCTTTAACTGAAGGACCTACAGTGGCTCAATCAAATGCAGCACCAACTGAAGAAGTATCCATGAAGCACAAGTGAAGGTGCAGTCCATACATGACAAGATGGGATTCCAAATGGTTTGGGGTGGGTCATGCAGGTTTCAGCTAGCATCTCCATACAGTTCCCTCAAGGAAGGTTCCTTTTAGCCAGTGAACGGCTCTTGGTCCAAGGAATTGAACCTCCTCTTCTTTGGATCCAACCTGAATGCCTCCCATTCCCCAGGCATATGATTCCTACAGGTTTAATGCTCCCATCCTAAATATAAATAATAATCTGCATACAACTTCAACTGGGTAACAACTGCTGAATGGAGGCCAACAAAGACTTAATAGAACATCCTTGACCTTATTTTGGCTAGGGCAGCTGAGTTAAGCAACTATGCCTCACATAGTCCCACAGCAGAACTAAGCAATAAAGCAGTCAAGATACTGCTGTGGGTGATTTTCTTAGGTGTGTTGGCACTATTATAATTTAAGTTTTGTACTGTACTGCTACTGATAGTGTGAAGCAACATGTGTCACTTGAAATATATTAAATAATGTATCTTTAAACATCCTTTTCCTGTAAGCGATTTAGTGATTAGTATTATATTTGATTAAGTGCACTACAGGTAATATTATTTTTTCAAGCTCTGAAAAATGTTGAATTAATTAGTGCAATAGTAAAGTTCTCCAAAAAAAACAAAATGGAAAAGCTCATAATAAATCTTGGATTAGCACTAAGATGCTGGAAAGAAGGCATTATGATTAACATTGTCACCCATCCCTGCTCTTTTTATGGTAAAATATAAAAAATATATAAATCACCTGTGGTACTTCTTAATTCTGTTCAAGTTGTAAGTGGCGAGTTCAATAATAGGATCATTATAGCTGATACATATATGACAATGATTATGGTATGATAATGATACTCTATACGTTGTAATGCTAGTAATGTATTATAATACAGTTTTTCTCCTAGCAATAACAATGAATAAAAAATTAACTCTGTAGGTGGATCCGCAGTTGTAATTCACTAAGCACACTAACATCTTTCTTACATTCTCAGGCACCTCCCCAAATATAAAATACCAGAAACCTGAGCAAGTCCATATAGATATGTACCACACACGACATCCAACAATTACCAAACATTACAATCAATGAATACTGTACAGCACTTTCATATTTAAAACTCAAATAAAAATCTCACCAATAAGAGGTTAACTAATGTAGTCTGAATTTGATAAGAGGCCAACCCCTAAGATTATCATAAAAATTAACCTACAATGGCTCTGCCTAACATCTACAGCCTTAATGCACAGTAAAACATCTTTGTCCAGAATATGTAACTAAACATACATACCTGCCTGTGCAGGAAATTCTTATTAATCTAAACAATCTAGAAACCCTGAGCTTCACTCTTCTTTTAGAGGGAATTTATTTTTTAATTCTACTGATGATAATTTCCATAATGACGGAAGAACTTAAGACACTGGCTCACAATGATGTAATTTACTTCAGGTTTAATATCTGCAAGAGATGAGTTAATTATCCAGCCACAAAAAATATGTTCACATTATTTTTTTTGTAAATTCACTTGACAGCCCTTTTTCATTTTTTCTGAATACAGTATACATATTAACAATATACTAAACCAAAATAAACATGGTACATGTATGACTCCCTGTATTTGTACTGAAATTTTTTTTATTTTTTTTTTTTTATTATCACACCGGCCGATTCCCACCAAGGCAGGGTGGCCCGAAAAAGAAAAACTTTCACCATCATTCACTCCATCACTGTCTTGCCAGAAGGGTGCTTTACACTACAGTTTTTAAACTGCAACATTAACACCCCTCCTTCAGAGTGCAGGCACTGTACTTCCCATCTCCAGGACTCAAGTCCGGCCTGCCGGTTTCCCTGAATCCCTTCATAAATGTTACTTTGCTCACACTCCAACAGCACGTCAAGTATTAAAAAACCATTTGTCTCCATTCACTCCTATCAAACACGCTCACGCATGCCTGCTGGAAGTCCA